GGTGGTCCACATGTCTTGTGACCCCCCCCCCACACACACACACACTCAGACACTCGTGCGGGCGGTGGTCCACATGTCTTGTGACCTTCACCCCAAGACATTCGTGCGGGCGTTGGTCCACATGTCTTGTGAATTCCCCCCCCCCCACGCATTCGTGCGGGCGGTGGTCCACATGTCTTGTGACCTCCCCCCCCCCCCCCCCCCACACACACACACACTCTCACACACTCGTGTGGGCGGTGGTCCACATGTCTTGTGAACTCCCCCCCCCCCACGCATTCGTGCGGGCGGTGGTCCACATGTCTTGTGACCCCCCCCCCCCCCCCCCCCCACAAAGACAAAGACAAAGATCCCCCATATAGCCTTAACAGACTGTAGGGGCAAGTGCTGTTAGCGAGCACCTATGAAGGCCGGAACGGTACACGAGGGGGTGGGTGGCCAGCACCACGCCCGACCGCCTTTGTCTCCCTAGTGGCAATGTTTACACACCGCACCAGGTACTCATTTGAGGCTGAGTTGACCTAGGGGAGGCCCGGGACCGGTTCAGATAATCGTCACTGGTGTTGGCCGTGAGCGGGAATCGAACCCGGGTCGCCAGGTTCATAGCGCAGCGCGCTAACCGCTACACTATCGCGGTAGTGTAGCGGTTAGCGCGCTGCGCTATGAACCTGGCGACCCGGGTTCGATTCCCGCTCACGGCCAACGCCGGTGACGATTATCTGAACCGGTCCCGGGCCTCCCCTAGGTCGACTCAGCCTCAAATGAGTACCTGGTGCGGTGTGTAAACATTGCCACTAGGGAGACAAAGGCGGTCGGGCGTGGTGCTGGCCACCCAACCCCCTCGTGTACCGTTCCGGCCTTCATAGGTGTTCGCTAACAGCACTTGCCCCTACAGTCTGTTAAGGCTATATGGGGGATCCTTGCCCCCCCCCACACACACTCTCACACACTCGTGCGGGCGGTGGTCCACATGTCTTGTGACCTCCACCCCCCCCCCCCACACACACTCTCACACACTCGTGCGGGCGGTGGTCCACATGTCTTGTGACCCCCCCCCCACACAACAATAACCGCCATTCGCTACTGAGTGGCGGTGACGTCACCACGACGCTTGTGCCAGGCTATGTGCACCCTGAGGCCACGTGAAGTGTCGAACGCCCGCTGGCAGGAGGTCACCGGGCAGACCCAGGTGCCACGGGTCGACTGACTGAGATGACTGGCTGATGCACCACCTGTGCCCCCTACTGTGCCAACCTGCTGTGCTTTAGCCACCCGGCGCTCCGCTCGTTGTTCTGAGCGTCGCTCCTCCGCCCTCCGTTGTTGTTGGAGGGCGACTACCTCCAACTGCCCAGTAGCATCCTTCACGAGCCTCCTCCACAGAGGCCGATCTTGACACCGCTGGTACCAGTCATCGGCAAGTCCACTCAGCTCCACGTCCTCCTGTACCACATCACTCCATCTCTTCTCTAGCCCGTGTCGCGCCCGCTTAGCCCCATCAATCCGGCCGAACAAAAGCTGTTTCGGCATGCGGTGGCTGGGCATGCGGGCTACATGACCCAGCCATCGCAGCCTTCCCCACCGGAGGAGCTCACCGATGGGACCTTGCCCAGATCTTTCAAGGATTTGTGAGCTCCTCACACAATCCAGTCTGGTTAAACCCAGGATGGATCGTAGGCAGGCCAGCCTAAATGTTTCTAACCGGCGAAGATGTTCCATTAGGGGGGTCCACGTTTCGCAAGCGTAGAGAAGGGAGGGAATGACTGTGGCCGAGAAGACCTGAAGCTTAGTGCGGAGCGACAGACCAGGTAGCTTCCACACAGCGTTACGCAACCGATGAAAAGATATTGCCGCTCGACTGATTCGGAGTGAGACCTCTGCTGTTAAACTGGAGCCAGTCATCTGCACACTGCTCAGGTATGGGAAACTCTCCACTCTCTCCACAACTGCCCCATCACCGATTGGGAGTTTTGGGGGTGGAGTGTCCGATGGTACAAAATACCCAGGCAGGTGCTTTATTTTGGTGGGGCTGATGGTAAGGCCCCACCTCTTAGTGGCACGCTCCAGTCTCAGCAGCAGCGTCTCCAACTTCTCCTCTGACTGAGCAGCTATTACCAAATCATCAGCATACATAACGTGGTTGAGCAATAGGGAGCCATCCCTTGACCGCACCCGGGCATCGATTAGCCTCCCATTATATCTGTACCATATGGAGATTCCCCCGGCACAGCTATTGAAGGCTTCACGAACTACGTGGTCAAAATAGATGTTAAATAATGTGGGAGCCCGAGGACATCCCTGTCGCACCCCAAGGTGTACAGGGAATGGCTCTGACTCCCGGCCACGTAGTTTTACCCGGGCCCGCTCACCATCATGAAGGTCCTTAATGATCGTGAGCAGAGGGTCAGGTACTCCAAAACCACGAAGAACGACCCAGATCCCAGGCCTACTGATGGTATCATAGGCCTTGACCAGGTCAATAAAGCAGAGATGTAGGTCTTGTTGGAATTCCCTACACCTCTGCTGTAGCAGACGGACAGAAAATATGGCATCTGTGCAGGACCGCCCTTTCCTGAAACCGCATTGGGGCTCCGCAAGCCTCTCCTCAGCGTGGCTGCAAGGCGATGCTGAATAATCCTTGCCAGGACCTTTCCCGGCACACTGAGGAGTGAGATGCCCCTGTAGTTGTTACAGTCTGTGCGGTCCCCCTTCTTAAAAAGGGGGACCACCAGGGCATCCTTCCAATCCTGCGGAACCCGTCCAGTGGTCCAGACTGTTGTTATGATGTCATATAGGGCAGTCTGTGCACAAACGCCACCCTCCCTCAGCATTTCGCTTGGGAGATCATCTCTGCCCGCTGCCTTTGCTGGTCTCAGACTCCTGATCGCCTTCAATACTTCCTCAGCAGATGGCACCTCAGCCAGCCACTCACAGGGGGTGACTTCTTCCAATATTTGAGGCACCGCAGCCTCAGCAGGGTCATCCTCACTTTGTGCCACGATGTTTTCCTGGCTGAGGGATTTTCCCTCCCCCAGGACCTCACAGAAATGCTCAGCAAATCTGCGAACCTGTTCCTGGGAGTCGGAGATTGGATCACCGTTTTTTCCCCTAATGATGGTAATAGGTGTGGCGCTGCAGGTTACTTTTTTGATGGAGTTAAACAGAGATTTGTGATCACGGGCCACTGAGGCAGACTCCATCTCCTCAGCAACCCGTGACCACCACCCATTCTTGCAGCGCCTCACGGCTCTCCGAACCTCCGAGCGAAGGCTGCGGTAAGCCTCCTCATTCTCTGACGTGGGATTCTGTAGCCGATGACAGTGGGCCTGTCGATTTTTCTCAACTATCCTGAACACCTCCTCTGTCAGCCAGGGTCTCTGGGGAGGTCTGGACCGCGTACCCAAAGCAGCCATTGCAGCTGCATGAGTCACAGTCCTAAACCTCGCCCATTTACCCTCGACATCAGGAGGAGTCGGGGACGATGCCAATCCCAGCCGCAAGCGATGATGAAATTCTCGCTTGCAACTATCATCAGATAACTGAGACCAGGCCACTTTATGTTGGAATAGGGTCCTGGGTGTACACCCACCACCGGAGTGGAAGAATGGCAGGCGCATCTTACAGATGACTAGTCGATGGTCAGAGGGCAGATCAGCTCCACGGTAGGTCCTGGTGTCAAGGACATGGGCTCGCATTCGCTCGTCCGTCACTATGTAGTCCAGCAGATGTTCTTGCTTGGACCCGGCATGCATCCATGATGTTGTGTGGATGCGCCGATGCCGGAACAACGTGTTGGTAATTACAAGCCCATGGGCTGCACAAAAACCTAGCAGCCTCCTACCGTTGTTATTGAGCTGATCTGGCCCATGCCCTCCAATCACTCCAGACCAGGTGCCAGTATCATATCCAACTCGGGCATTTAAGTCACCCAACATGATGACTCTATCCCGAGGGGTCACTTTAGCCAGCACCTGTGACAGGAGGTCATAGAAGGCATCTGACTCATCGGCTTTGCCTGCATCCCTCCACGGATGTTCATCTTCGGTGGGGACATAAGTAACCACGACCACCATTCCTCGCCTCCGGTTGATGGGAAGGCGAGCCCAAAGTAGCCTGGGACTTACAGCTTCCCACACCTCACCGCCACGCTCCCACGCCCCCTTCATTCTTTTGTTCAAAAGAAGAGCCACACCCTATTGTTTGGCAGTCTGCTGCCCCGAGTAGAGGACTGTCCACCCCTCATGGTTGCAGGAGCCAGAGCCGGTCCACCGGACCTCCTGAATGCCACACAGAGCCAGGCGGTACCGGTCCAGCTCCCGACAGAGGAGTGGCAGCCTCTCCTCCGCAGTGAGCATTCGAACATTCCACGTGGCCACCCGTAGTGGCTTATCGTTGTTTCTGGAGGAGCCCCGAGGGTAGATATTCAATCTTCTGGCTCCGCCAATTGGGGTTTGGCCAGGAGACGTCATAGACGCCTGGCCCCCCGGGGCCTCCGGCACAAGCTTATTAGTTACATATTTCAGTTTAACTCGTGGTTTTAGTGGTAATTAATTGAAGGTGGAGGGGTTACCAGCCCCTCGCACCCGTCCAGAGCCCCCGTTTAGCCCCTGTGGTGGACACATATGCCATAAGGGGAGGAGCCAATCAAAATTGGACCTCCCCCCACAGCACTGTCCACGACAGAGTTGCCCGTCCGGCACCGCGGGCGGTGGTCCACATGTCTTGTAACCCCCCCCCCCCCCCCACACACACTCTCACACACTCGTGCGGGCGGTGGTCCACATGTCTTGTGACCTCCACCCCCACACATTCGTGCAGGCGGTGGTCCACCTGTCTTGTGACCCCCCCCCCACTCACACATTCGTGCAGGCGGTGGTCCACATGTCTTGTGACCCCCCCCCCACACACACTCACACAGTCGTGCGGGCGGTGGTCCACATGTCTTGTGACCTCCCCCCCCCCCCCACACACACCCCCAGACATTCGTGTGGGCGGTGGTCCACATGTCCTGTGACCCCCCCCCCCCCCCCCCCCCACACACACAACCTCACACATTCGTGCAGGCGGTGGTCCACATATCTTGTTACCCCCCCCCCCCCACCCAACAACAACAACTGCCATTCGCCACTAAGTGGCGGTGACGTCACCACGACGCTTGTGCCAGGATATGTGCACCCTGAGGCCACGTGAAGTGTCGAACGCCCGCTGGCAGGAGGTCACGGGGCAGACCCAGGTGCCCCAGGTCGACTGGCTGAGATGACTGGCTGATGCACCACCTGTGCCCCCTACTGTGGCAACCTGCTGTGCTTTAGCCACCCGGCGCTCCGCTCGTTGTTGTGAGCGTCGCTCCTCCGCCCTCCGTTGTTGTTGGAGGGCGACTCTCTCCAACTGCCCAGTAGCCTCACTGTGCACCTAGCCTGGCACCCCCGCCCCCCCCCCCCCCCAGTAGCGTCCTTCGCGAGCCTCCTTCCCAACAGAGGCCGATCTTGACACCGCTGGTACCACTCATCGGCAAGTCCACTCAGCTCCACGTCTTGCCGTACCGCGTCAGGGGCTCGCCCCCCCCCCCTCCCGCCAATCGATTGACACCTATTAATTGACACCTATTAATTGACACCTATCGGTGTTCATATTTTGTTTTTAAGTTTTGAGAAAATTGTATGGGGTGGGGGGTGGGGGTCACAAGACATCTGGGTCCACCCCTTGTGTGGCTGTCCCTGGTTTTACCTGGACCATCCCCGGGGAATTGGTGTCTGTGTTGTTGTCTTTGTTGTTGTTGTTGTTCAGGGGTCATGGATTGGTTTTGTTATCGGGATCCTGTACTGAACTTTGTTGCAGCGAAACTCTACGGTGGCGAAAAAAATTCTATACAATTTTTAAAAATATAATTAAAATAACCCGGTGATGAGTAATCTGTCCGAGTTTAAAATTTGACTTAAAACTTTCGTGATTGCAGGAATTCATATTCTATGGTTCTTTCGGTAAAGTCACGTAGATAGAAAAAAATATAATTAAAAAGATTATTATTATTCTATCTACGAAATAATAATAATAATAAAATATTATTATGTTTCTATATACGTGACTGTCCGGGTTTGGTTCTGTGGCATAAGATGCAATCCATCCCACTCAGTTACTTACCCACTCATCATCTAACACCTCCTGCCTCCCCCCTCCTCCTCCTCCTCTCTCACCTCCTCCACCTCCTCACCACCACCACCCCTCCCACCTCATCCCCGTCACTCTCCCCCAGCCTTCCAAAACGCCACCGGGTACCTGGCAACGCACGGACGTCCACCTTGAGAACCCTGAGTATCACACGCGCTGGTACTTCAAGTACTTCCTCGGCAAGGGTGAGTGCCGTCGCTCACCAGGGGTGGGCACCATCACTCACCAGGGTGGGCACCATCACTCACCAGGGTGGGCATCATCACTCACCAGGGTGGGCACGATCACTCACCAGGGTGGGCACCATCACTCACCAGGGGTGGGCACCATCACTCACCAGGGTGGGCACCATCACTCACCAGGGTGGGCACCATCGCTCACCAGGGGTGGGCACCATCACTCACCAGGGTGGGCACCATCGCTCACCAGGGTGGGCACCATCGCTCACCAGGGTGGGCACCATCACTCACCAGGGGTGGGCACCATCACTCACCAGGGGTGGGCACCATCGCTCACCAGGATGGGCACCATCGCTCATTAGGGTGGGCACCATCGCTCACCAGGGTGGGCACCATCGCTCACCAGGGTGGGCACCATCGCTCACCAGGGTGGGCACCATCGCTCATTAGGGTGGGCACCATCGCTCACCAGGGTGGGCACCATCGCTCACCAGGGTGGGCACCATCGCTCACCAAGGTGGGCACCATCGCTCATTAGGGTGGGCACCATCACTCACCAGGGGTGGGCACCATCACTCACCAGGGGTGGGCACGATCACTCACCAGGGTGGGCACCATCGCTCACCAGGGTGGGCACCATCACTCACCAGGGGTGGGCACCATCACTCACCAGGGGTGGGCACGATCACTCACCAGGGTGGGCACCATCGCTCATTAGGGTGGGCACCATCGCTCACCAGGGTGGGCACCATCGCTCACCAGGGTGGGCACCATCGCTCATTAGGGTGGGCACCATCGCTCACCAGGGTGGGCACCATCGCTCACCAGGGTGGGCACCATCACTCACCAGGGTGGGCACCATCACTCACCAGGGTGGGCACCATCACTCACCAGGGTGGGCACCATCGCTCACCAGGGTGGGCACCATCGCTATATTTGGTGTTTGAACATCTTAACGCCAGCCACCTGTTTTAATGGGCAGAAAGGGTACGACCCACGTCCTTATTTTTCACACTTTGTTGCCGGAGGCACAAATAAAAGGTCCCCTTGATAAATCCAAAGCGTTAAACCAACCCTACCACCCCCACCCCCCTCGCCAATAAAAAATAAATAGTTGAATAAATCTCGACTTGAAGCTTGCGTGACGGCAGGAGTTCATATTCTTTGGGTCTTTCGGTAAAGTCACGTAGACAGGTGCAAAGAAAATAACAAAAAATAACAATAAAACTACGACGTTTCGATGGCAACACAAGACCCAAAGAATGAAATAGTTGAATAGTTTGAACTCTGTCGGCTCCCCCGCAGTGCACCAGAACTACGTGGGAGTGGACACGGACAAGAGCTGCTTCTTCCTCTCCGTCGTGCTGTCCGACCACAACAACCTGCGGGTGCCACAGTACCGCGCCGTCCTGTGGAGGAGGCCGGTGAGGGACCTCCACCGCCACCACCTCCACCACTATCATCGGGACCACCGCCATCACCACTAAGGCCACCACCACCAACGCCACCACCACCGCCACCACCACTACCACAGCCACCACCACCATCGCGACCACCGCCACCACCACTAACGCAACCACCACCACCGCCGCCACCGCCGCCGCTGCCACCGCCGCAGCCCCCAAGGCAAAAAATTCCAAACCCACCGCTCACGCCGTTAAGCGTGGGTGCCACGGTGGCTATGAGATGTTAACTACCTCGCCTGGTGTACAGGAGGTCGTGGGTTCCATCCCGGACCCTCACGCCACGGTGGCTAGGAGATGTTAACTACCTCGCCTGGTGTACAGGAGGTCGTGGGTTCCATCCCGGACCCTGATCCCTGTATATTTCTATTTGCGATAGCCAGGTCACTTCTGAAAAAGAGTTACGTAGCTCAGTGGAACCTTACATGGTAAATTAACAAATATATATTTGAAGTTGGCATATCTCTCTCGCCCCGTGGTCGCGCGGAATTTTTCTCCGGGTCCTCCGGTTTTTCCCCCTCCGCATGTTAGAATCGCCGCCACACGTCCAGAGAGTTTTTGTCTTCCGCTACAAATGTCCCCGCGATGAGGATGATGGTGATGATGGTGGTGGCGTTGGCGGTGGCGGTGGCGGTAGGCAACTTTTTGTTTTAGCCATCAATGTGTGGTGGCCAGGTTCGCACTCCTGACAAAAGAAGCTACAGATGTTCAGTGGACCTTATCACTGTTACATTGCATTTATGGCTTTATTTTGGTGATTTCGAAAACGTTTTTGTTTGGTTTGGCCATGTTTTTGTTTGTTGTAGTACGGAGTTAGACTGATGGCCTTAATCTTAGTTGTCTTGTGGTTGTTGTTGTTGTTGTTTGACTTGCATCCCACTGGGATTTTTGCACACAGCGTTGGTGTACGGTGCTATTTCAGGAATATTTTGATGTTTTTTTTCCTGGAATTTCTGTTTGCACAGTCAACACATAGTGACTTTAAGATGTTTTCTTGTTCATGTTTTGTTTTTTGTTTGTTGCGGTTGCATCCGATTCAAGAGCCGAATGGCTCACAGGGCTATACCAAAGAAATGGAACTATGACACTATGGTTAAAAAAAAAACACACACACCCGACTTTAAATAGTCAAGAATAATAAAAAAAATTTAACGCGACGTCTGCACGGCACGGTTCCAGTTCGCTGGAGAATCGTCGCTGCCGTAATCGGACCCAACCGTGCTCTTTGCACAGTCGTGATCAACACTGCCACGACATCACTACCTCTACTACACCACCATCACCGTCACTGCCACACCATCAACATCACCCCCACGCCACCGCTGTCACACCATCACCGCCCCCCGTGGTGCTCTGCGCTGTGTCCTGCAGGGCTCACTGAAGATCTGCCTCCCCTACTGCCCAACTAAAGCCTTCTCCGTCAAGTCCATCCTCAGGTAGACATCGCGAGACACAGAGAGAGAGAGAGACACGCTCTCTGTCTCTCTCGTCTGGGTTCAGTGGGTAAAGGCGCAGCTCAGTTTAACACGTAGGCTTTCGCGACCAATATTATTCACACAACTCATTACTAATCATAACCATTGACTGATTACCAATCGATTATATAATTACAATACCCCCCCCCTCCGCCTCAAATCACTGCACCTGAATGAGTTAAATGATGACGTCACCCTGCTGCTGCTCTATTTAAGACCGGGAGCAAGTGGAGACGGCTTTACCATTCTGGCGAATTGCCCGATGATGCTGGGAATGTAATTACCAGCGAAACGTCGTACTGCTCGAACTGTAAATGTTGTGGATTCACTCGGTGGGCTAAAGTAGGGAACTATTTTGCCTTTTGTCAACGTGACACTTTTTTTGGCTGATTGGCCGTGTCGGGTGGTGGAGGGTTATTATGAATATTGTGAAAGGCGCAGCTCTGCACATTATCTCCTGCTCATGCCACTGCTGGACGGCCACGCGGCCACGTCTTTCAACGTTTTTTCAATTCCGACATTAGGACGCCACTGGAGCTGTGCGCTGCTAAATCGTCACCGAGATTGATAAACTCGCGCGAAGTCCTCGTTCAGGCGGTAGTGGTTGACTCATCACCACGTGGCTCCTGCTGCTGATGCCTCCTAGCTGCTCATCGGTGGTTCCTCCTCCTGGTGCCTCTGAGTCTGAGTCGTCCTCTCTCAGTTCTCTCTCTCTCCGAGTCGTCCTCTCTCTCTCTGAGTCGTCCTCTCTCTCTGAGTCGCCCTCTCTCTCTCTGAGTCGTCCTCTCTCTCAGTTATCTCTCTCTCTCTCTGAGTCGTCTCCTCTCTCTCTCCCTCTGAGTCGTCCTCTCTCTCTCTGAGTCGTCCTCTCTCTCTCTCTGAGTCGCCCTCTCTCTTTCTGAGTCGTCCTCTCTCTCTCTGAGTCGCCCTCTCTCTCTCTCTGAGTCGTCATCTCTCTCAGTTATTCTTTCTCAGAGGCATCCTCTCTCTCTCAGTCCTCTGTCTCTCTCTCAGAGTCGTCCCCTATCTCTCTCTGTCTCTCTACGAGAGCGACTATAGCGTTGGGGAGTTAAGAGTACAAAGTCATCCTAGCAGTGCCGGATGAAGCGAAGTGCGGGGCCTGTAGCACATATTGTTATGAAGGGGCCCTAAATAATAATAAAAAAACACGTAAATATTAAAACACACATTTTAACCTGGCATAGTAAAGTCATTTTATTTTTTCATTTGCTATACGGCCCAGATAATACGACGAATCGCTAACCTTTAACACCCAGTCGTTCGTATAAGTCGAAGGCGCTATAGTACTATAGTAATAGAGCAAGTGCAGAATCACTGAACCGGAATTGATAGCTCGAAGACATTTAGCGCGGGGCCCTTGAAAGTGCGGTGCCCATAGCTACTACACGTGTAGTAGTAGCTAGATATGCAGTGTGTGTGTGCGTGTGTCTTGCCTGGGTATTTGTACCATCGGACACTCCACCCTCACAACTCCAAATCGGTGATGGGGAAGTTGTGGAGAGAGTGGAGAGTTTCCCATACCTGAGCAGTGTGCTTATGACCGGCTCCAGTTTAACAGCAGAGGTCTCACTCCGAATCAGTCGAGCGGCAATATCTTTTCATCGGTTGCGTAACGCTGTGTGGAAGCTGGTCTGTCGCTCCGCACTAAGCTTCAGGTCTTCTCGGCCACGGTCATTCCCTCCCTTCTCTATGCTTGCGAAACGTGGACCCCCTTAATGGACCATCTTCGCCGGTTAGAAACATTTAGGCTAGCCTGCCTATACGATCCATCCTGGGTTTAACCAGGCTGGATTGTGTGAGGAGCTCACAAATCTTTGAAAGATCTGGGCAAGGTCCCATCAGTGAGCTCCTCCGGCAGGCAAGGCTGCGTTGGCTGGGTCATGTAGCCCGCATGCTCAGCCACCGCATGCCGAAACAGCTTTTGTTCAGCCGGATCGAGGGGGCTAAACGAGCGCGGCACGGGCTAGACAAGAGATGGAGTGATTTGGTACAGAAGGACGTGGAGCTCAGTGGACTTGCCGATGACTGGTACCAGCGGTGTCAAGATCGGCCTCTGTGGAGGAGGCTCGTGAAGGACGCTACTGGGCAGTTGGAGGCAGTCGCCCTCCAACAACAACGGAGGGTGGAGGAGCGACGCTCACAATAACGAGCGGAGCGCCGGGTGGATAAAGCACAGCAGGTTGGCACAGTAGGGGGCACAGGTGGTGCACCAGCCAGTCATCTCAGTCAGTCGACCCGTGGCACCTGGGTCTGCCCCGTGACCTCCTGCCGGCGGGCGTTCGACACTTCACGTGGCCTCAAGGTGCACATGGCCTGGCACAAGCGTCGTGGTGACGTCACCGCCACTTAGTGGCGAATGGCGGTTGTTGTTGTTGTGTGCGTGTGTGTGCGTGCGTGTGTGTACGTGTGCGTGTGTGCGTGTGCATGTGTGTGTGCGTGTGTGTGCGTGTGCGTTCACAGCGCGATATCCCTGGACAAATTTGAGAGAAGCCTTCGAGAAATTTTAAATCCCGAAATACAGAAGGTGAGATCCTCGCGAGAACCCTTCCCGTTGTCGCAGACGCAAGCCCCTTTCAACCCACAACGTCACAGGCGCCGCGTAGGAATGGACACGGGGGAGATTTCATAAACATTGACGTACTTTAAATAAAAATTGACGTACTCGTTAACCCACGCGGTTTAACCCCGTATGCTGGCACAAGGAAATTTAATTTTCAGGTCCGTACGGCCTACAGCCGTTTCAATACGGGGACAAAAAAGATTTGTCCATTTGTTTGCGTTTCTACCCTTGTGAAGTTGTGATGGGACTTTGTGGGGTGAACGTTGAGATTTTTAAGGGGCACAGCGGTGACCAATACGGTCTGAGTTGGTCTGTAATAGGGTAGGCCACTGATAAGGTGTTGACAGGTATGGTAATGTATAGTGTAGTACTGTAGTGTATAGGGTATAGTAGTGTATAGTAGTGTAGTGTATAGTGTAGTTTACAGTACCCATAGACTCAACACTACATGTAGACTGAACACTGCCCATAGACTCAACACTGCCCATAGACTCAATACTGCCATTGACTCAACACTACCCATAGACTCAACACTCCCCAAAGACTCAACACTCCCCATAGACTCAACACTACCCATAGACTCAACACTACCCATAGACTCAACACTAAACATAGACTCAACACTGCCCATAGACTCAACACTACCCATAGACTCAACACTGCCCATAGACTCAACACTACCCAAAGACTCAACACTCCCCATAGACTCAACACTACCCATAGACTCAACACTCCCCATAGACTCAACACTACCCATAGACTCAACACTACCCATAGACTCAACACTACCCATAGACTCAACACTACCCATAGACTAAACACTACCCATAGACTAAACACTGCCCGTAGACGGTTATACGGTGCGAAAGAAGTTCAACATATTTACAAATGACGCAATGTTCATTGTTTTGTGCTCCACAGGACTTGCTCGTTCTGGAGGAGCAGGAGGTACGAAACGTCTGACCCCTCCTTGTCGCATCACGGACCACGTGACTCTGTGACTGTGTGACCACGTGACTGCATGACTCAGTGACCACGTGACTGCGTGACCGCGTGACTCCATGACCGCGTGACCACGTAACTGCATGACTCTTTGACTGCATGACCGCGTGACCACGTGACTCCATTACTCCATGACTCCGTTACCGCGTAACGCGTGACCATGTGACCGCGTGACTCTGTGACTCCATGAGTGCGTGACTGACCACCTGACCGTGCGACCGTCTGACCGCGTGACCATGTGACCATGTGACCGCGTGACCGCGTGACTCCTTGACCGTCCACATATTGTTAACGAAATTAAATAAACCGATAAATATGAACCAAATAACAAAAACGTATAGAACCTGTTTAGCCTACCATTCACAAATGAAAATTAAACTACTGTTATAAATTACTTGCATGGTTTAAAAAGTTGTAATGAGGGCATAAAATGTAGACACAGGGGACCTTGGTTTTAAGGAAGGTGCCTGGCAATAAATGAAGTATCTGCTCCAAGCGCAAACGGATACCTGGTGCGGTGTGTAAACATCGCCACTAAGGGAGACAAAGGCGGCCGGGCGTGGTGCTGGCCACCCACCCCCTCGTGCGCCGTGCCGGCCTTCATAGGTGCTTCTACTCGCTACAACAGCACTTGCCCCAAAAGTCTGTTAAGGCTACACGGAGGATCTTTGTCTTTGATTTTTGTAGCGACGCTGCTGCTGCTGATAATGAGGATAACCCAGTTCCTGATGATGCTGTGATGATGATGCTGCTGATGATGATGCTGATGATAATGCTGTGATTATGATGATGCTGCTGCTGATGATGATGCTGGTAACGATTCTGCTGCTGATGATGACCCATTTTATGATGACGCTGCTACGATGATGATGATGATGCTGCTGCTGCTGCTGATTGTACACGTGTGCATATTTGCATGTATGCCCGTTACATGCATGCGTGCGTGTGTCGGTGCGTCTGCGCGTGCGTGTCCTTGTGGGTGCGTCCGTGCGTGCGTGCGCGTGTGTGTGTCCGTGCGTGCGTGTGTGGCTGTGTCCGTGCGTGTTCCCCCTCGCCTAGGGCTCGGTAAATTTCAAATTCGGCGTCCTCTACGCGAGGGAAGGGCAGCTCACTGACGACGAAATGTTCAGCAACGGTGAGCGCCGAACGGTGGCCGGGAGATGTTGACTATCTCGCCAAGTGTGCAGGAGGTCGCGGGTTCGATCCCGACCCTGTGACGTGATAACAAATGTAACGTGAATAGCTTCACAAAGTCCATCGATGTCAACGCGTGGCCTGGAATCCTCTCCACGTGACCTCAAGAACCCGGAGGCGGCAGCACATTTCTTGTGGAGTTGTTGCAAATTCTTCGGAGTGTTAACATTTTTTGAAGCACCCTGCAATATATAAAAATACATGTATTAACGTAATTAAAAAATATATATTTATATCATGTAAAAATACATGTATTGATGTAATAATATAAAAATATAAATACATTTATATTATATCAAAATACGTGTATTAACATTCTAATGTTCAAACAAATGCATTAATATAATATAAAAATACGTGTATTAACATTATAATAACATAAAAATGCACGTATTTCTATTATAATATTATAAAATTACGTGTATTAGCATTATAATACTACGAAAATACATGTATTCGTTTTATAATAACATGAAATAAAATTTATTAATATTATAACAATACTATATGTAAAAATATATTTCCTTTAATATTATGAATCCACTCGTCTGTGCCTCTTCTGCTTTCAGAAACGGGCAGCGAAGACTTTGATAAGTTTCTGGGCCTCCTCGGGGAGCACATTTCTCTCAAGGGCTGGGTGGGCTATCGTGGCGGCCTGGACACCAAGAGTACGTGGGCACGGCTAGGGCTAGTAGTAGGGGTAGTAGTAGGGGTGTAGGGGTAGTAGGGGTGTAGTAGTAGGGTATAGTGGTAGTAGGGGTAGTGGTAGGGGTAGTAGTAGGGGTAGTAGTAGGGGTTGTAGTAGGGGTGTATTAGTAGGGGTGTAGTAGTAGGGGTGTAGTAGTAGGGGTAGTAGTAGGGGTGTAGTGGTGTAGTGGTAGGGGTAGTAGGGGTGTAGTGGTAGGGTATACAGGTAGTAGTAGGAGTGTAGTAGTAGTAGGGGTAGTAGTAGTGGTAGGGGTGTAGTAGTAGGGGTAGTAGTAGGGGTAGTAGTAATGGTAGTAGTAGTAGGGGTAGTAGTAGTAGGGGTAGTAGTAGGGGTGTAGTAGTAGGGGTAGTAGTAGGGGTGTAGTAGGGGTGTAGTGGTAGTAGGGGTGTAGTAGTAGGGGTAGTAGGGTGTAGTAGTAGGGTATAGTGGTAGTAGTAGGAGTGTAGTAGTAGTAGGGGTAGTAGTAGTAGGGGCGTAGTTGTAGGGTGAGTAGTAGTAGTAGTGGTACGGTGGGTGTTGTAGTCGTAGGGGTAGTAGTAGTAGGGGTAGTAGTAGTAGGGGATAGTGGTAGTAGTAGTAGTGGTAGTAGTAGGGATAGTAGTAGTAGTAGTAGGAGTGTAGGAGTAGGGGTAGTAGTAGGGGTAGTAGGAGGAGTAGTAGGGGTGTAGTAGTAGTGGTAGTAGTAGTAGGGGTAGTAGGGGTGTAGTAGTAGGGTATAGTGGTAGTAGTAGGAGCGTAGTAGTAGTAGTAGGGGTAGTAGTAGTAGTAGGGGCGTAGTAGTATGGTGAGTAGTAGTAGTGGTACGGTGAGTGTTGTAGTCGTAGGGGTAGTAGTAGTAGTAGGGGTAGTAGTAGGGGTAGTAGTAGTAGGGTGAGTAGTAGTAGTGGTACGGTGAGTGTTGTAGTCGTAGGGGTAGTAGTAGTAGGGGTAGTAGTAGTAGTAGGGGTAGTAGTAGTAGAGTATAGTGGTAGTAGTAGTGGTAGTAGTAGGGATAGTAGTAGTAGTATGAGTGTAGGAGTAGTAGTAGTAGTAGGAGGAGTAGTAGGGGTGTAGTAGTAGTAGTGATAGTAGGGGTAGTAGTAGTAGTAATAGGGGTAGTAGGGGTGTAGTAGTAGGGGTAGTAGGGTGTAGTAGTAGGGTATAGTGGTAGTAGTAGGAGTGTAGTAGTAGTAGGGGTAGTAGTAGTAGGGGCGTAGTTGTAGGGTGAGTAGTAGTAGTGGTACGGTGGGTGTTGTAGTCGTAGGGGTAGTAGTAGTAGGGGTAGTAGTAGTAGGGGATAGTGGTAGTAGTAGTAGTGGTAGTAGTAGGGATAGTAGTAGTAGGAGTGTAGGAGTAGGGGTAGTAGTAGGGGTAGTAGGAGGAGTAGTAGGGGTGTAGTAGTAGTGGTAGTAGTAGTAGGGGTAGTAGGGGTGTAGTAGTAGGGTATAGTGGTAGTAGTAGGAGTGTAGTAGTAGTAGGGGTAGTAGTAGTAGGGGCGTAGTAGTATGGTGAGTAGTAGTAGTGGTACGGTGAGTGTTGTAGTCGTAGGGGTAGTAGTAGTAGTAGGGGTAGTAGTAGGGGTAGTAGTAGTAGGGTGAGTAGTAGTAGTGGTACGGTGAGTGTTGTAGTCGTAGGGGTAGTAGTAGTAGGGGTAGTAGTAGTAGGGGTGTAGTAGTAGAGTATAGTGGTAGTAGTAGTGGTAGTAGTAGGGATAGTAGTAGTAGTATGAGTGTAGGAGTAGTAGTAGTAGGAGGAGTAGTAGGGGTGTAGTAGTAGTGGTAGTAGGGGTAGTAGTAGTAGTAATAGGGGTAGTAGGGGTGTAGTAGTAGTAGGGGTAGTAGTAGTAGGGGTGTAGTAGTAGGGTGAGTAGTAGTAGTGGTATGGTGGGTGTTGTAGTCGTAGGGGTAGTAGTAGTAGGGGTAGTAGTAGTAGTAGGGGTGTAGTAGTAGGGTATAGTGGTAGTAGTAGTAGTGGTAGTAGTAGGAATAGTAGTAGTAGGAGTGTAGGAGTAGGGGTAGTAGTAGTAGTAGGGGTAGTAGGAGTAGTAGTAGGGGTGTAGTAGTAGTGGTAGTAGGGGTAGTAGTAGTAGTAGGGGTAGTAGGGGTGTAGTCGTAGTAGTAGGGGTAGTAGGGGTGTAGTCGTAGTAGTAGGGGTGTAGTCGTAGTAGTAGGGGTGTAGTAGTAGGGTATAGTAGTAGTAGGAGTGTAGTAGTAGAGGTAGTAGTAGTAGGAGTGTAGTAGTAGGGGTGTAGTAGTAGTAGAAGTTGTAGTATGGGTAGTACAGGTTGTAGTAGGGGTAGTAGTAGGGATGTAGTAGTAGTAGGGGTAGTAGTAATGGTAGTAGTAGTAGGGGTAGTAGTAGGGGTGTAGTAGTAGGGGTAGTAGTAGTAGTGTAGTAGTAGTAGGGGTAGTAGTAGTAATGGTAGTAGTAGTTGGGGTAGTAGTAGTAGGGGTGTAGTAGTAGGGGTAGTAGTAGTAGTAGGGGTAGTAGTAGTAGTAGGGGTGTAGTAGTAGGTGTAGTAGTAGTAGGGGTGGTAGTAGTAGTAGGGGTAGTAGTAGGGGTAGTAGTTGTAGGGGTAATAGTAGTAGGGGTAGTAGTAGTAGGGGTAGTAGTAGTAGGGGTAGTAGTAGTAGTAGGGGTGTAGTAGTAGGGGTAGTAGTAGTAGGGGTAGTAGTAGTAGTAGGGGTAGTAGTTGTAGGGGTAATAGTAGTAGGGGTAGTAGTAGTAGGGGTAGTAGTAGTATGGGTAGTAGTAGTATGGGTAGTAGTATGGGTAGTACTAGAGGTTATAGTAGGGGAATAGTTGTAGTAGTACCGGCGTGAACGGCACCCTCCTGTTCACCTTCTAACGTCCTCGGGCGTGGCGTTCGACGACCACCACCACGTGATGTTTTGTGTTGTGACGTTTTTGTGTTGTGACGTATTTGTGTTGTGACGTTTTTGTGTTGTGACGTATTTGTGTTGTGACGTTTTTGTGCTATGACGTTTTTGTGTTGTGACGTTTTTGTGCTGTGACGTTTTTGTGTTGTGACGTTTTTGTGCTGTGGCGTTTTTGTGTTGTGACGTTTTTGTGTTGTGACGTTTTTGTGCTGTGACATTTCTGTGTTGTGACGTTTTTGTGTTGTGACGTTTTTGTGCTGTGGCGTTTTTGTGCTGTGACGTTTTTGTGTTGTGACGTTTTTGTGACGTGTTTGTGTTGTGCGTGGCGCGTTCAGCACCACGTGCCACAGCGTGTGGATTTTTTATTGTTTAGTTATTTGTTGCTGGTGACTTTGTTTCGTATCGAAATCGGCTCCAGTGCTATTTTCTCGCTCCTCTCCCTCTCTCTCTCTCTCCTGCTTTCTCTCACTCTCTCTTTCTCTCTCTCTCTTGCTGTCTCTTTCTCTCGCTCTCTCTCACTTTCCCTCTCTCGCTCGCTCTCTCTCCCCCATCGTCGTCGTTCGATCAGACGACACAACGGGAACGCACGCGGTCTACACCATCTACCAGGGACACGAGATCATGTTCCACGTGTCCACCATGCTCCCTTACTCCAAGGACAACCGACAGCAGGTACACACGCGTATAGTATTGTGTATAGTGTAGTGTATAGTGTAGTGTATAGTAGTGTAGTGTATAGTAGTGTATAGTGTAGTGTATAGTAGTGTATAGTGTAGTGTATAGTAGTGTAGTGTATAGTCGTGTAGTGTATAGTAGTGTATAGTGTAGTGTATAGTAGTGTAGTGTATAGTAGTGTATAGTGTAGTGTATAGTAGTGTATAGTGTAGTGTATAGTAGTGTATAGTAGTGTATAGTGTAGTGTATAGTAGTGTAGTGTATAGTAGTGTATAGTGTAGTGTATAGTCGTGTATAGTGTAGTGTATAGTAGTGTAGTGTATAGTAGTGTAGTGTATAGTCGTGTATAGTGTAGTGTATAGTAGTGTAGTGTATAGTCGTGTATAGTGTAGTGTATAGTAGTGTAGTGTATAGTAGTGTAGTGTATAGTCATGTATAGTGTAGTGTATAGTAGTGTAGTGTATAGTAGTGTAGTGTATAGTCGTGTATAGTGTAGTGTATAGTAGTATAGTGTATAGTAGTGTATAGTGTAGTAGTGTATAGTGTAGTGTATAGTGTAGTGTGTAGTGTAGTATATAGTACTGTATAGTGTAGTGTAGTGTGTACTGTATAGTGTAGCGTATAGTGTAGTGTATAGTGTAGTGTATAGTGTAGTGCAGGGGTGGGCAAATTTTTTGACTCGCGGGTCACAATGGGTTCTAAAATTTGACAGAGGGGCTGGGCCAGGAACAGATGGACGGAGTGTTTGTATGAACTTAATATAAATGACGTGTTAAAATCATTACATGAAAGGATTTGGCCTTTAATAGGTAGCAAAGCATTTATTTGCAAGGCAATTTAACAAATAGCACGAAGATGAACAATACAAAACATGTAGGAACGCCCGGTCAAAGTGCGCCATCTAATGGGGAAATGGGGGCATTACAGGAGAAAGGGAAAATTTAATTTAATAATAATAATATTTGGACAAGTTCGGCGGACCGGATTAAAAAGCCCAACGGGCTGTATACGGCCCGGGGGCCGCACTTTGCCCATGTCTGGTGTAGTGTATAGTGTAGTGTATAGTGTAGTGTATAGTGTAGTGTATAGTAGTGTATAGTGTAGTGTATAGTGTAGTGTATAGTATAGTGTAGTGTATAGTGTAGTGTATAGTGTAGTGTATAGTGTAGTGTATAGTCGTTAACAGGGGTAAGTGGCGGAGTGTCCCCGCTACGACGCGGCTCTCGAGCGGGCTGTGACGCCGGTGTGGACGAGAGCCACGACGTTCCCACGACGTTCCCGCGACGTTCCCGCGACGTTCCCACGACGTTCCCGCGACGTTCCCGCGCCCCCCCCCCCCCTCCACCAGGTGGAGCGCAAGCGGCACATCGGCAACGACATCGTCACCATCGTATTCCAGGAGGGAGAGGAGTCGTCCGTGTCCTTCAAGCCCTCCATGATCCGCTCCCACTTCACGCGTATCCCCTCCCCTCCGTCACGCACGCACACACACACACATACACACACACATACACACACACATACACACACACATACACACATACACACACATACACACATACACACACACACATACACACACATACATACACACACATACACACATACACACACACACATATAATAACAACAACCGCCATTCGCCACTAAGTGGCGGTGACGTCACCACGACGCTTGTGCCAGGCTATGTGCACCCTGAGGCCACGTGAAGTGTCGAACGCCCGCTGGCAGGAGGTCACGGGGCAGACCCAGGTGCCACGGGTCGACTGACTGAGATGACTGGCTGATGCACCACCTGTGCCCCCTACTGTGCCAACCTGCTGTGCTTTAGCCACCCGGCGCTCCGCTCGCTGTTGTGAGCGTCGCTCCTCCGCCCTCCGTTGTTGTTGGAGGGCGACTGCCTCCAACTGCCCAGTAGCATCCTTCACGAGCCTCCTCCACAGAGGCCGATCTTGACACCGCTGGTACCAGTCATCGGCAAGTCCACTCAGCTCCACGTCCTCCTGTACCACATCACTCCATCTCTTCTCTAGCCCGTGCCGCGCCCGCTTAGCCCCCTCAATCCGGCCAAACAAAAGCTGTTTCGGCATGCGGTGGCTGGGCATGCGGGCTACATGACCCAGCCATCGCAGCCTTGCCTGCCGGAGGAGCTCACCGATGGGACCCTGCCCAGATCTTTCAAGGATTTGTGAGCTCCTCACACAATCCAGTCTGGTTAAACCCAGGATGGATCGTAGGCAGGCCAGCCTAAATGTTTCTAACCGGCGAAGATGTTCCATAAGGGGGGTCCACGTTTCGCAAGCGTAGAGAAGGGAGGGAATAACCGTGGCCGAGAAGACCTGAAGCTTAGTGCGGAGCGACAGACCAGGTAGCTTCCACACAGCGTTACGCAACCGATGAAAAGATATTGCCGCTCGACTGATTCGGAGTGAGACCTCTGCTGTTAAACTGGAGCCAGTCATAAGCACACTGCCCAGGTATGGGAAACTCTCCACTCTCTCCACAACTGCCCCATCACCGATTGGGAGTTGTGGGGGTGGAGTGTCCGATGGTACAAAATACCCAGGCAGGTGCTTAGTTTTGGTGGGGCTGATGGTAAGGCCCCACCTCTTAGTGGCACGCTCCAGTCTCAGCAGCAGCGTCTCCAACTCCTCCTCTGACTGAGCAGCTATTACCAAATCATCAGCATACATAACGTGGTTGAGCAATAGGGAGCCATCCCTTGACCGCACCCGGGCATCGATTAGCCTCCCATTATATCTGTACCATATGGAGATTCCCCCGGTACAGCTATTGAAGGCTTCACGAACTACGTGGTCAAAATAGATGTTAAATAATGTGGGAGCCAAAGGACATCCCTGTCGCACCCCAAGGTGTACAGGGAATGGCTCTGACTCCCGGCCATGTAGCTTTACCCGGGCCCGCTCACCATCATGAAGGTCCTTAATGATCGTGAGCAGAGGGTCAGGTACTCCAAAAGCACGAAGAACGACCCAGAGCCCAGGCCTACTGATGGTACCATAGGCCTTGACCAGGTCAATAAGGCAGAGATGTAGGTCTTGTTGGAATTCCTTACACCTCTGCTGTAGCAGACGGACAGAAAATATAGCATCTGTGCAGGACCGCCCTTTCCTGAAACCGCATTGGGGCTCCGCAAGCCTCTCCTCAGCGTGCCTGGCAAGGCGATGCTGAATAATCCTTGCCAGGACCTTTCCCGGCACACTGAGGAGTGAGATGCCCCTGTAGTTGTTACAGTCTGTGCGGTCCCCCTTCTTAAAAAGGGGGACCACCAGGGCATCCTTCCAATCCTGCGGAACCCGTCCAGTGGTCCAGACTGTTGTTATGATGTCATATAGGGCAGTCTGTGCACAAACGCCACCCTCCCTCAGCATTTCGCTTGGGAGATCATCTCTGCCCGCTGCCTTTCCTGGTCTCAGACTCCGGATCGCCTTCAATACTTCCTCAGCAGATGGCACCTCAGCCAGCTACTCACAGGGGGTGACTTCATCCAATATTTGAGGCACCGCAGCCTCAGCAGGGTCATCCTCACTTTGTGCCACGATGTTTTCCTGGCTGAGGGATTTTCCCTCCCCCAGGACCTCACAGAAATGCTCAGCAAATCTGCGAACCTGTTCCTGGGGGTCGGAAATTGGATCACCGTTTTTTCCCCTAATGATGGTAATAGGTGTGGCGCTGCAGGTTACTTTTTTGATGGAGTTAAATAGAGATTTGTGATCACGGGCCACTGAGGCAGACTCCATCTTCTCAGCAACCCGCGACCACCACCCATCCTTGCAGCGCCTCACGGCTCTCCGAACCTCCGAGCGAAGGCTGCGGTAAGCCTCCTCATTCTCTGACGTGGGATTCTGTAGCCGATGACAGTGGGCCTGTCACTTTTTCTCAACCATCCTGAACACCTCCTCTGTCAGCCAGGGTCTCTGGGGAGGTCTGGACCGCGTACCTAAAGCAGCCATTGCAGCTGCATGAGTCACAGTCCTAAACCTCGCCCATTTACCCTCGACATCAGGAGGAGTCGGGGACGATGCCAATCCCAGCCGCAAGCGATGATGAAATTCTCGCTTGCAACTTTCATCAGATAACTGAGACCAGGCCACTTTAGGTCGGAATGGGGTCCTGAGTGTACACCCACCACCGGAGTGGAAGAATGGCAGGCGCATCTTACAGATGACTAGTCGATGGTCAGAGGGCAGATCAGCTCCACGGTAGGTCCTGGTGTCAAGGACATAGGCTCGCATTCGCTGGTCCGTCACTATGTAGTCCAGCAGATGTTCTTGCTTGGACCCGGCATGCATCCATGATGTTGTGTGGATGCGCCGATGCCGGAACAGCGTGTTGGTAATTACAAGCCCATGGGCTGCACAAAAATCTAGCAGCCTCCTACCGTTGTTATTGAGCTGATCTGGCCCATGCCCTCCAATCACTCCAGACCAGGTGCCAGTATCATGACCAACTCGGGCATTGAAGTCACCCAACATGATGACTCTATCCCGAGGGGCCACTTTAGCCAGCACCTGTGACAGGAGGTCATAGAAGGCATCTGACTCATCGGCTTTTCCTGCATCCCTCCACGGATGTTCATCTTCGGTGGGGGCATAAGTAACCACGATCACCATTCCCCGCCTCCGGTTGATGGGAAGGCGAGCCCAAAGTAGCCTGGGGCTTACAGCTTCCCACACCTCACCGCCACGCTCCCACGCCCCCTTCATTCTTTTGTTCAAAAGAAGAGCCACAACCTGTTGTTTGGCAGTCTGCTGCCCCGAGTAGAGGACTGTCCACCCCTCATGGTGGCAGGAGCCAGAGCCGGTCCACCGGACCTCCTGAATGCCGCATAGATCCAGGCGGTACCGGTCCAGCTCCCGACAGAGGAGTGGCAGCCTCTCCTCCGCAGTGAGCGTTCGAACATTCCACGTGGCCACCCGTAGTGGCTTTTCGTTGTTTCTGGAGTAGCCCCGAGGGTAGGTATTCAATCTCCTGGCTCTGCCAATTGGGGTTTGGCCAGGAGACGTCATAGACGCCTGGCCCCCCGGGGCCTCCAGCACAAGCTTATTCGTTACATATTTCAGTTTAACTCGTGGTTTCGTGGTAATTAATTGAAGGTGGAGGGGTTACCAGCCCCTCGCACCCGTCCAGAGCCCCCGTTTAGCCCCTGTGGTGGACACATATGCCATGAGGGGAGGAGCCAATCAAAATTGGATCTCCCCCCACAGCACTATCCACGACAGAGTTGCCCGTCCGGCACCGCGAGGAGGTAGGGGGTTGTTTTGCCAGACCAGACATACACACACACATACACACACATACACACACGCACACACACACATAGACACACACATACAGACACATACACACGCACACACATACACACACATACATACACACACATACACACGCACATACACACACATACATACACGCACACACACATACACACACACACACACACGTGCACACACACGCACACACGCGCGCACACACACGCACGCACGCGCACGCACACGCACGCACACACGCGTATATGTCCTTAACGTTCACAACGGCCAGACATCTTTGCCTTGGTGAGGTACAACAGAGCCACGGGCAGCTACAGGTACCACCACTGCCTTGCGCTCCGTGTCTATGTGGAACCTGCCCACGTACATTACACTCTGTGAGTGAGCGCGAGCGAGCGTGTGTGTGTATGAGTGTGCGTGAGTGAGCGTGTGTGTGAGTGAGTGAGTTAGCGTGTGCGTGAGTGAGCGTGTGTGTGAGTGAGTGTGGGTGAGTGAGCGTGTGCGTGAGTGAGTGAGTTAGCGTGTGCGTGAGTGAGCGTGAGTGAGCGTGTGCGTGAGTGAGTGTGCGTGAGTGAGCGTGTGCGTGAGTGAGCGTGTGCGTGAGTGAGTGAGTTAGCGTGTGCGTGAGTGAGCGTGAGTGAGCGAGCGTGTGCCTGAGTGAGTGAGCGTGTGCGTGAGCGAGTGAGTGTGAGTGAGCGAGCGTGTGCCTGAGTGAGCGTGAGTGAGTCAGCGTGCGCGTGAATGAGCGTGAGTGAGTGTGTGCGTGAGTGAGCGTGTGCCTGAGTGAGCGTGAGTGAGTGTGAGCGTGAGTTAGCGTGTGCGTGAGTGAGCGTGAGTGAGTGCATGAGTGAGCGTGAGCGTGAGTGAGCGTGTGCGTGAGTGAGCGTGAGTGAGTGTGAGCGTAAGTGAGCGTGTGCGTGAGTGAGCGTGAGCGAGTAAGCGTGAATGAGCGTGTGGGTGAGCGAGCGTGAGTGAGTGTGCGTGAGTGAGCGTGAGTGAGTGAGTGTGAGTGAGTGTGAGTGAGTGATTGAGCGTGAGTGTGAGTGAGTGAGCGTGAGTGTGAGTGAGTGTGCGTGAGTGAGTGAGTGATTGAGCCATGAGTGAGTGAGTGAGAGTGAGTGAGAGTGAGTGAGTGAGAGTAAGTGATTGAGCGTGAGTGAGTGTGAGTGAGTGTGCGTGTGAGTGAGTGTGCGTGTGAGTGAGTGTGAGTGAGTGTGAGTCAGTGAGTGAGTGTGAGTGTGAGTGAGTGTGTGAGTGAGTGTGAGAGTGAGTGAGAGTGAGTGATTGAGCGTGAGTGAGTGAGTGTGAGTGAGTGTGCGTGTGAGTGAGTGTGCGTGTGAGTGAGTGAATGTGAGTGAGCGTGAGTGAGTGTGAGTGTGTGAGTGAGCGTGAGTGAGTGTGTGAGTGT